AGAAAGGACACTAATTCTAGATTTGAAGCTTTCGTGACTGCAAGGATTCATATTCTTAGGTTATTTCGGTAAAGTCACGTAGGTAAAACATTAAAAAAGTAAAATAAAATCAAATAAAAATCACGACGTTTCGGAGGCAACACAAGCTTCCGTCCTCAGGTGGGACCGTCACAGCCACGACAGCTGTATCAAGTAATTTTACTTGATACAGCTGTCGTGGCTGTAAATTTACTTGATACAGGCTGTCGTGGCTGTGACGGTCCCACCTGAGGACGGAAGCTTGTGTTGCCTCCGAAACGTCGTGATTTTTATTTTATTTTACTTTTTTAATGTTTTACTTACGTGACTTTACCGAAAAAACCTGAGAAAGTACACCACAAACGGTGATGCGTATCACTGCACAACGAACAAGAAATGGGGGAAGACCGAGGACGCTTTGGATTGCAGCAAGGGTTCTACAAGGACGAATGGAGCTGTGAAGCTGGTGCACGATGGAAACGTTTCCCAGAGACTTAATTGGACCTCATTGCTTACTTTTGATCTGACGGACAGGAATGCAAAAGCCGAGATCGCATCACAGGATTCCCATTAAATGGTTCTATATTGCAAGCCAGGGCAACAAAATGTGCTAGTTTGCACTTCACCACCAGCCACAACACATACTTCAAATGAAATACAAAGCAGGTAAGACAACCCAGCAACGTTCGTTTGTTTTTACCAGGTACGATTCGTTCTGAATGGCACTCAGAAAGTCAAAAGGCGGTTCAGAGTTTTCCTTATTAGAAAAAATAGTGCTGGAAAACATTAATCTCTTTACAGTTCTGTAATAAATAATAATAATAGTTCAATTTGTAATGCGCGCAAATTTGCAGACGTAGTGGCCGCAACTCAATAAAGGCCGTAGACTGACTACAATGCGTTACTGGATAAAAGCCTGGTCACACTGTGGTGATGGTGAGGATGATATGACCTGGTCACCACGCTGGTCAGTGTGGGCTGATGAAGGAAGCCCCAGGATTGGCTCAGATAGCAGTCACCACTGATGTCAAACGTGGTTCGGAATCAAACTCGGGTCGCCTGGTGCTTGGTGTGGTGCACCAAACACGACGTTACCTCTCCCCCTAAGGGACATGTACGGTAGAGAGAAAATGATTGTCATCCATTGCTATTGAGGAGGTCATATTTAATTATCCAGAATTAAATTCGGACAAGTATTAACTTGAAAAAAAGTCCACGTGAAAACTACCTTTCCAAACCGGTCTTTGTGGTTCATTCATCTCTTTAAATATATATATTATTCCAGTCAAGGACGTCTGTATAAATGTATGTAGACCAAGAAAAACACAATGCGTGATACTCGCCACGTGTCGAAACGTCCCAAGTAATTGCAGGGTGACTGATAACTAATCGAATGCTACACAACGTTAAGTTAATTACTGTATCGTGTAGGTGTCACTGATATAGTAGGCATACGTGACGGAGGAGCGGCAGTGTCGCGGTTATCACGCTGCGCTACAGTGACCCGGGTTCAATTCCCACTCACGGCCACCGCCAGTGACAATTATTTGAACCGTTCCTTGGCCTCCCCTAGGTCGACCTAAGCTCAAATGAGTACCTGGTGCAGTGTGAAAACATCGCCACTGGGGAGACAAAGGCGGCCGGGCGTGGTGCTGGCCACCTACCCCCTCGTGTGCCATGCCGGGCTTCCAAGGTTCTTGCTAGCAGCACTTGCCCCAACAGTCTGTGAAGGCTACACAGGGAATCTTTGTCTTTGTTATCCGGTGACTACTTGGTATCAAAAAGCACATCATGGACATATGTTTACACTTACTTGAACCGTTCCTTGGCCTCAGAAACAGAATAAAGGTACTTTCAATCGCTTCTTCCTTTGTCCCATAACTCGACATCCCTTTCGAAACGAACTGCACGAGGGCCTCTCCAATACCATCAGTCGTTGTGCACAGCACATGTCTCATTGTTTCCGAATATAGAAAAGGCTTTGGTTTCTCAGTGTAGAGAAATTGTAGCAATTGTGAGTCACTTCCCAGGCACTTTACACATGGAGAAAGAAAGAAAAAAACCAACCACATCACACAGAATGTCACTTACAAAAAGCCAGCAGATGGGATGTTGCCTTCAAAGTTTGGCACTCATTTGATACAGTTTCCGCATCAAGAGAGGTTCATGTGAGGGTCTGTAATTGGGTTTGAGATCAGGATACTTTGGACTTGAATTTAAAGCTTTTTTCAGGCCAGACAGCACCATGGATTGGTGCACTGAGACCACTCATTGCGTGCAATATAAAATCTATATTTATATTTGATCTCAATTGGATTTCTGAGATTATTATATTAAAGCTAGACATTGTTTGGACTGTTGTTTATTGGGCTGAAAGAAAGAATCACTGGGATAGGTTCTTGAAATGTCTCAGCTCAGTGTTGTTGCATCCAAAACAGTGTTTCGTTTTTTTGCGTGTGTTTAGTTTATCGTCCTTCCCGCGCACCTCCGATTAGCACGGTTGGCTACGTACGGTGCGAAAGAAGTTCAATACGCAGGCAGTGCACACTTCTGTCGTTGGGAAGCAGGGTGCGGGGACAGCAGGATGTGCCTCACATCCTGGGCAGCAGCAGCGGCAGCAGCGGCAGCGTGCGAGCCGCACCCTGCTGCCCAAAGTGCCGTGGCTACGGTAAATTATGGGTGATGTGAATCCGCTTGTAAACTATGCACAAACTTGTTCTTCCATTGTTGGCTCTACTCAGACCCCTAATGCTTTTAGCCGTTCAACAGCGGCGGCAAGAGGGTGCTGCTGTCGCAGAATTGTGTGCGCTATCGCGTGGAATCAACCGCACTTAAGTTGCCAATGAAATATTTTGTTAAATCAATCATATGCATAAGACCCCTGTTGTTTTTCCATTACATTTTGATTTCATGAAAATAGTTTCACGAGTTTTTTTTTCTCCTCTCGCGGTAAAACATATATTATTCGTTGTAACCTTCTTTTCATGAATCATGAACCGGTGTATATTACATATGCTGCTTGGTGCACACTCTTTAGAAAAATTCACAACAATCACAGTGACTCGAGATCTCCTTTGAGCCTTGAAGAAATACTTTTGACATTTCAATGGGGAAAGAGGAGACCGCAGCTGATACGGATATTGACCATTTAATGTCTACCATGCACTTATCATGCCACTGCCAAAAAATGTTGAAAAAACCTCTCTGAGTTTCAATACTTTTTCAGGAGGTTGAGATGTCTGTCCATTCCCTTGCTACGCAGGGCTTTGTGGGGGATTAAACGATGGTGTGCAGAAATCCTCATCACTCTTTTTCAGAAGTGTCCTGCCAAGGTTTCACAGTAATTGGGCGATTGTTGCAATACATATTCCAAATGAGCAATTTACGACGTTATTTGTTTTATTTTCGCATCGTCAGAAAAATCAGCATCTTTATTTAATCTGGAGGAATCCGATTAACTACGAAGTTATTTTTGACAGATGTCCAGTAGAGACCAGATCAGCAAGTTACAACAACAACAAACAGTGCAACAAGAACAAAAAAACGAACGATGGGAGTGAAATGGCCTCTTGTTGCGAATTATTGCCACGCGATCTTTAACATCCTCTGCGAGCGAAGCAGACGGCGGGTAGTATTATCACTACGGTCAGTACACCCGCAGTGGTAACCAGGGCGACCGCTGGATTCGAACCATGAACCTTTGCAGTGAGCCACTCGGCCTCGTCACCGCACACACACACACACACACGAAGAGATTCGACAACGTAGTTCGCACACACAGGTGAATGAACCCATTTGCCACACCACCATCTCCTGGCAGTTCAATGCACACACATGTGTATGTGACCACCCAATTTTTGTCTCGAGTGTTGATTAACAGGGATGGCTCCAACCAGGCTTGGCCTCTGATATTACTTCTAGAACCACTCGTATTGCGGTTTAGAGATAAGGATTGAATTGTGTATTTCTGAAATTCGTATCTTTTACAAAACTCTAGAAATATTAGGTGAATTTCTTCTTGGCATTAAGTCTAACGATGAAGAGTTAATGCCATTCCTTGGCAAGGAGAAAAGCAGAATTTGTCCGACGGCTACCACCCACATCCACCGTTAATCATTTATGAGCCCAACAGCTGGCATTTGCATCATGGCAGACACTAGAGTATGGAATGGTTTGTGAAGCATGGAAAGTTCAGCTCTGAGCATCTGCTCTCAGATTTCCATGGATGCCCGGTAACATCCAGGGTGTGCCTGTTGCACCAAATATTCATTCTATTCATCCAGGAACCCACATCGAGTCTCAAGTTTCGTTTGCATGAGCGTCTGGCACTGAGATGTATGGGGACCGGCTGAATGAATATTTTTACACCTGGGAGGAAATGACAATACCTGTAGACGCCCTATGTATATGATAAGACAAACACGAATATCTACAGATAGGTCAGAAAACGAGTTGCTCTATTGCCTTCTTCTGACAAGGTGACAACAAAGCAAGTTGGGTGTCACGATCTCTGAGATGGTAACACAGAAACCCCATCTCTAAATTTCTGGACAACACACAAAAATGACTCAATGAGGAATACTTGCTAACAAAAAAGTCCACGGTCAAATAAGTGTGGAGCAGCGCAAACTTCTTGAGTACGGAACCAGTGGTGCAAATTCCACATTCCTATTGCAGGGGCCAGTCTAGTCATCAGGTAAGTTGAGTGTTAAGCAACTTGGTCAAACCCCAATCAAGAATTTAAATGTTTTTATGGCAGGGGCCAGTCAAGTTTGATAATGTTACTGGAGCAATAAGGGTACCCTACTTGTCAGTACCCAATCAAGATTTAAGCCTGCGACCTTCAATTTGTGAACAGGGCCCACTTAACCATAGTACCCATCTGGTTTGATCTCAATGTGGCATGCTGATCGGGGCTTCTTCTGCGTAAGTAAAGCACATCATCGTGACCATCGTCAATATCTGCGCATTGGCACTTTTACCTGCCACCAGTCTGGGTCCTCTTGGCTCACGATCTGCAGGATGTCCCCGCGGTTGAAACGCATGCCTGCCTCCTTGCACGGAATCAGCTGGTCATCCTCCGGGTTGTAGTCGAAGTAGCACTTCACAAACACCTTCCAAACACACTCAATTCAGGGGTCGGGTTAACGCAACATGTTGGACCGCCATGCCACCAAGCAAATGACATGCATTATTAATGCAAATTAAACATTTAAGCACAGCCACGACGTTATTTCCGCTCAACAGGGAGGCACAGATGGGTGGTTAATCAGTGAAGGGGCTGCTGTGGGAACGCGTGCGGCATAACTTATCACGTGTTATGCCTATGCGAGAGTAACATCGTGTTTAAGCTTGTTTTTTTTGTGCTTACAATTACAATTTTGGCTAAGCAAAACACATTCACTATGTGAAGGGTGCTTCTCCCACTGAATGATTCAAGTTGGCGGCACATCGGTATTCCCATTGATCATAAAATGAAACGACCAACAGAACTGCATTGATTTACGCGTGCAATTATTTCAGCGATAAAATATACTGGTACGTGATAAAAGCTTTATGTTTTAGTAGGTGAGACCTCAAAGGGCATGTGGCTTTTTCAGCTTGCACAGGATCATGCGATGGGAGATTATGTATACAAATGAACACAAACCGAAAACAGATACATACTACAATAGTTAGCACTGCCAGAAAATCCAACCATTTACACATATCCATCTATGCAATATACATATGACATTATAGAAAATGTACTTTTTAGCTATTTAGCAATGCAATTCATGAAGCCAAGAGTCAAAGTCAAAGTTGTTTCCTGCTCAATGATGCATTGGGCAACGTCCATCTCCTGTTCACACCCTTAAGCCAGTGGTGGAAATTCCACATTACTTTGGCGAGGGGCGAGTCTCTTCGGAGAACAACTACTGTTGACCTTCCTACAAAGCGATATTAATTTTATTGTCCTGAGAGAAAAGAAGGGCTGAGTCGATCCCCAGTCAGGATTTGAATGTCTAACCTCTAATTGTGAATCTGGTCGCTATACTGCTCTACCACGGGCTTCACGGCTTTACTTCTACTCTACCTCCATGGTCAAAGGTCAGAGCAAAGTCACACATATTGCATGACGTTATTTAACCTGAGACTCGAGTGATCTAGTGTTCTTAATAAAACAATAGATATCCATTTGTGCTTAAAGCATATTGATTGATGTCCGTGATAATTACGTGAGATGAGGTCATTCCGAAGCAATCAGTTAATGGGTTATTCTCGCATGATCTGCTTCACCAACTTCTTGGTTCTTTCGGTAAAGTCACGTAGAAGGGATATAATAAAATAAAAAATAAAACATATTCTTTGGTTTTTTCGGTAAAGTCACGTATAAAAATAAAATAATAAATTAAATAATAGCATACGACGTTTCGATTGCAACACAAGCAATCATCATCAGGTATAATGAAATAGCGACATAGAATATAACCAGAAAACTATAGACAGACATATAAGCAGACAGATATCACCAAGATACATAGAGAGAGCAACCCAGGTACAGAGAGAGGTGATCGTCTCTGTGGGGTGGCCTTAAATAGACAGAGGGGGGCGGAGGCAGAGAGAGGGAGGGGGTAGGGAAAACATTTACATGTCAATGAGTACGAAGGGAGGGGAGTAAGGTAAGCAGGCTTAGAGGGAGACAGAACACACTAAATTAAATAACCTAGCAAAGAATCGACATAACATTTCGATACTTTGCTAGGTTATTTAAATTAAATAACCTAGCAAAGTATCGACATAACATTTCGATACTTTGCTAGGTTATTTAATTTAGTGTGTTCTGTCTCCCTCTAAGCCTGCTTACCTTACTCCCCTCCCTTCGTACTCATTGACATGTAAATGTTTTCCCTACCCCCTCCCTCTCTCTGCCTCCGCCCCCCTCTGTCTATTTAAGGCCACCCCACAGAGACGATCACCTCTCTCTGTACCTGGGTTGCTCTCTCTATGTATCTTGGTGATATCTGTCTGCTTATATGTCTGTCTATAGTTTTCTGGTTATATTCTATGTCGCTATTTCATTATACCTGATGATGATTGCTTGTGTTGCAATCGAAACGTCGTATGCTATTATTTAATTTATTATTTTATTTTTATACGTGCCTTTACCGAAAAAACCAAAGAATAATTCCTGCAGTCACGAAAGCTCCAAAATTAAAATAAAACATAAAAGAAAAAAGCTTATTTTATTATTTTATTATGGTTTATTATTTATTATTTTATTATTTCCCTTCTACGTGACTTTACTGAAAGAACCAAGAAGATGAATCCCTGCAGTCACGAAAGCTTTAAATCGAAACTGCTTCACCAACACAAGCTCTCCAGATTGTGATAGACAAAGCGGAAGCTGTGAAGTCGTTGCTTTGCTAAATGCAATAAATGTTCTCTTATAAAATTCCCAAGCAAGTCCCTGGCCACGCTGCTGAGTAGTAATGAATATTTTTCAGCACGTTGACTTAAACTCGTGCTGCTCCACATGAACTAACGGAGAGTGTTTTTAGAATCATAGTGAATATCTATTTAGAAAGTTATGTTTTTTTTTGCCATATACATGTGATCGCAGAGTCAGAGTGTTTCCTTTCTCACGCCAACATTGTTCTGGCACTAGTGTCATTTGGGAGCCAGCCCTAATCCAGCAATGAAATTCCATATAAATTAATTTATGTACTATGCATGTGTGTACGGAATTGCTGCCATGGTGAGATGGTTAGTACACTGAATTTGTAAACTAGGGCAGGGGTCGGGAACCTTTTTGACTGGGAGAGCCATAAAAGCCAAATATTTCTAAATATATTTCATTGAGAGCCATATAGTATTTTTAACGTATAATAAATTAAATATGTCTTACTTTTAATGCGACTTCTGGTGCTGCATGGTTTTGCTGATGGCCTTGTAGTCTGGTTCATACGTGGTGAGGTTGAGCTTCATGCAGGCGTGACCCGTGAAATTTATCTTCAAAACTAATTTCTGTTCACTTTAAAATGACACAGTATTATTAAACAATATCACAAGTATGTTAAAATCAGTTCCAAACGGATTTTTTGTTTTTTCATTATTATTATTTTTTTCAACTCAAAATTGTCTGGGAGCCATATGCCGTCACTGGAAGAGCCATATATGGCTCGCGAGCCATAGGTTCCCGACCGCTGATCTAGAGGTTGCCAGTTCGAGTCAAACTTCTGGTGCAGCAGTTCAATGAATGGCCAAGTTTCTTTTTTTCTTTTTTAAATCCCCCCCTGTTCGGCATGTCGAGCGTGGTGGGGTAAAATGTGGTTACTCCCAAGTCTTCCAAGATGTCTGGCAAACTTGGAGGAGTAGCCTAAGATACCCTCCAAAGGGGCTCTATTGAGCTCCCTCTTATGGAGGACCTTCCACCAGCAATGGTGTAAACAAGTAATTGCAGGGCTGAACCTTACATTTTTAACAGTATGTATGATTTAAAATTTCCAAGTATAGCTTAATATATTATGTTATTGCTGCTGTATTATTATTATTACTATACATATTGCATTAGTACCACGTGTAACAGGTTATAATTCATAGGAAGGCATTTCAGTCGCTGCTTTTTCTTCACGAACTGCCCGGTTCACCTCCCCCTTCAGACGGATGAAAATGTAAAAAGTCCAACGCAACCCTTAAAGGAACGTCAATGTTGTGGCAGATGGGCCCCTCCTTGCTGCCGCCTGCCAACATCGCAGTGGACAGGCTGTCCCATCACGTCTGCTTACTGCCACTATGTGATTACAGGAACATCCAGTGTCATGCCTGACCGAATGTTGGCGCGCTTCAGAGAGCTCCTGCCGCCCATGCAATCAAGTTGACCGGGAACTCGGTGATGTGCCCCATTAACGGATGGACGTTCACTTCAGGGTGAATAATCTCGTCAAGGAACACAAACCATCACGCGAACGCCAGTCATCCTCGCAGTAGTAGCTTTTGGCTAGCCATCGAACGAAGACGGTTACTGCATCGCGTGCTTTCAGATGTGCTTCTGCTGCCATGTGGGACACTCTTCATTCCGATATTAGAAAGCCACTGGAGCCATGCGCTTTTAAATATATAATGAAAACGAATTTATTTAGAACTGCTTTTTTGTATTTAGCTTGTTGTCCTTTCCCGTACCCCCGATTAGCACGGTTGGCTATGTAGGGTGCAAAAGAAGTTCAACATACATTCATATATACAAAAGGTGAAGCAGTTGAAAAGGATAGTAGGAACAGGTGATGACTCCTATGCAAAGCGGCATCATTTGCAGGTAAGAGCACACCGTGTTCTGTGCATGCATTAGTGGACTCCCAGTTGTGCGCAAGGATTTGGGGACCTCTGTGACCCACTGCTAGATTATGCCATTAACCTTGTCGCTAGGCATGGTGGCAAAGGCATACCACCCAGCCCTTTGGAGGTGAGTTTTGTGGGTTGGTAGAGACATTATCGTAATTGAAACTCTCAAGCAGCTACGTGACAAGTTTGTCAGAAGATGACAATACATCAATGAGGCGACCAACTTGCCTGCAGTATTCTTTATGTTGTCTACTTATACATGAGAGGTTTTCTCCAAGCGTTCTTGTCTTCTAACACGTCGGATTGGCCATGGGGAGAAAATGCTGGACGGGATGATGGCCGACGGTCAAGAATAATGTCAAAAATGGCAGCCGAGGAACGTAACGCATCCCAAAGTACTTCCACGGAGAAAATTGAGCAATTACATGGCTTGTGTGTAGGTTCTGGGTAAATAATTATCTTGCAGGGTCGTCAGAGATGGTGGTGGCTTGACTGAGGCCTTTGTCGAGCAAATGATCGACCATGGATGATGATGATGAGATTGTAAAACTCAAGATGCAAGACATTATTCTACGATTACTTTTAAAACTATGTTTTTATTTTACCAGGTAAGGCCAAATGAGCTATGTAGCTCTTTTTTAGAAGCGACCACAAATGATAGCTCAGCGAAGTGGCTTATCACGTCTAAATAAATAGCAGCCAAATACTCTCAACGCATGTTTCTAAATGTGGAGGGAAAAACCGGAGGACCCGGAGAAAAATCCACGTGACCACAGGGAGAACATTCAAACTCCAAACATACAGG